AAATTAAATTAAATTATTTGAACTATACTAAAGATATTACAAAATAAATTCTAAAATTGTTAATGTATTATGTATGGATATAATTTGTGCTGATTGATTTTAGAAGTTGTTTTCATAATTACCTAATAATATTTAAAATTAATAATAATATTTAATATTTTTATATTCATTATTATATTCTTTATGTTTATTATACATTATTATATTTATGTTTTTCTTTTTCAGGTAATTCAGATAAATAAGTTGCCATTGGTCATTAGTTTTATTGCTAGTCACAATTGTAATACCGGTCATGTATTATCATTGGAAAATAAGATTGATCCTATCTTAAGTAGTTTAAAAAATGCAGTGGTGGAAGCCTGATGGTTACCTGTTGTCCATTATGGATGATAAATGCTGAACACTGTTCAGATATGAATTTATAAGTTAAGTTGCAATTATTATATAAACAATAATCTTTTTTCAAGAATATCAAATATGTTTTTACATTTTTATTTGCTTATGTTTATTCATATTGCTGCAAGTGTGTTTTGAAAAATGAAAGATCTTTTAGAATGATTATTACATGATATTTTAATGCAGAAATCGGTAAATATGCCGATAGGGAGACCGCTCTGATGACCTTGACATAAGCAGAAGAAAGATGAGGTGGCTCTTCGCGTGGAAGTTGCACTCCCTTAAGCAGAGGGGAGAGGTAGAGTGGAATTCGCTTCATGTAGAAAATCCAACATCCCTTAGTAAAGGGAATATGGAGTAGTTCTTAATATTATATAGCGGAAATGAGACGTTATTTCTTAAACTTGTTGATTAATAATTCTTTTCACGAATAACGAACGATAAAATCTCTTAAGATTATTATTGAGTCAAGATCAAAGTCATTAAAGCGATTTTCTCCGATCGGCATATTAGTCCAGAAATCTATTAGAGAGATGTTTCTTTTTAAGAAATGCAGAGGTGTAATCAAAGTTATAATATTATTTATTTATTAAGAAAATATTTGATATTTTTTATGAAAATTATCATGTGTAATAACGTTTCAATTTATTAAGTAACATTAAGTAATTTAGTAAGTAATAAATTGTTAAAAACTTTTTGAAATTTGATAGATTTTAGATAAAGAGAGAAGAGAATAACAAATTTTAAAATCATGAGACTTCAAGCCATTTAAATATACTAATGTTTGTAAAATTTTTAAAAATATCCTACGAAAGTACCTTTTATAAGATCATTTCAATATGGCAATTAATTAAATAATTGGATTTGATAAGCAAGATTTTTAGAAATATTTCTAGAGATGTACTCACACTTAATATAAATGTAATATTTATTTCATTGTTTAACCCTTAAGTAGACACACAAAATCATTCTCTGATTGTTATGAAGCAATAGTTTTGGAGCCCCTCCCCCCCTCCCCCTCTCCCGAGGAAACTAAATATTGGATCATTTTATTCATTTTTTATTCATGATACTCCCATGTGACTCCTTTTAAAACTAGAAATCCATCTAAGAGAAGAAAAGAAAAAGTGGCTGTAATCCCCATTCTGCGCTTACTTAAGGATCGAGGCTTCTGATTAGTTGCTGCAATCCATTTTTAAAAAAAGCAGTCTCATAATTTTGTTTTATCCAAATTCTCTATTTATAAAAAAAAAGGCAAGAATTTCAATCATTTCTCACTTCACATCACGATCCAATATGACCGCGGCGACTAGTCAGGAGCTTTAATCAGTATAGTAAATTTAATGAATAAATTAATTTTATAAATAATTTTGATTATATAATATATAGTGTAAAAATTATAGTATAAAAATTAAATTGGGATTTGCCGAGTGATTATATTTATGTAATTTGAAGAATCAAAGAGGATCTTGTTACATCATGAATGATCATACATTTTAATAATGATCATACACATTAGTAATATTTTTAAATAAATTGATAAAATGTAAGAAATGCATAACACAAGAAAAGTGAGTTGCTATAAAGAGTAAATCAAAGGTTTATCCTCAAGACCATCAAGAATGTTTTGCGCAGCGACTATCGACATATCGTTACGGGTCTTGATTGTCGCGCTACCCATATGTGGCGTAATTGCTGTAATTATCAAAATAAAAAATTAATATGTATTATACATATATATAAATTATAATACATCGTAATAGTATTACATTCCTTGAATATTTTGAAATTATAGAATTTCTAAAGCATAATCGATTTATTGAATACTCAAGTGTGTGATATCGCATGTTACAAGAAAATAATAAGAAAATAAAAATGACGACTTTTAAATTTGTACATATTATTAAAATATACAAAGAATTATTTTAGCACTTTAGATTCAAGCTAAGCTGCTTAGTCTTTATTTCTTATCTGTTGCGTGTTCATATCGCGATCTAATATGATACCTACTTACTAATATAAAATACTCAAATGTATCGTATGTTACAAGAAAATAACAAGAAAATAAAAATGATTACCAACCGACATTAGGTAGTTTTAAAAGTTCATGATCCGGAGGTAGCGGTTCTGGTTCGGTAACGTCTAATCCGGCAGCGAATATCTTCTTATTACGAAGAGCTCTCACAAGTGAATCGGTATTGACAATTTGACCACGAGACACATTTACGAAGATGGCTGTTTTCTTCATCTTATCAAAAGTGTTATCATCAAAAAGTCTTCGAGTTTCGTCATTTAGAGCTGCTGAGATTACGATAAAATCACTCTGTTTTAGAAGCTCATCCAGAGATACAAACGTTGCCCCAAGTTCATCACCTGAATTATGTTAGTTAATTTAAAAGACTGTTATGCAAAAATTTTTTAACAATCCTATAATATAAATTCACTATTTTAATTTAAAAAATGCAGCATAACTTTTTACGAAGCTATAAATTTTACTAGAGATTTTTACATAATTATTCAAATTCATTTCATATTATCTACTATTTAATTAATGAATATTGCTTCTTGAAAAAATCTACTCTAAATAATATAATAAATAAATTTTTTTAACAATGAGCGTCCCCCTCCCTCTCCCCTAGACAGCTAGAGGGACCGTTTCGCGTGAAAAGCTATATTATGTAAGCAGAAAGGGAAGCGTGGAGTAATTGTTAGTATTATAGTGTATAGCAGAAAAATGAGATGTTATTTTTTATAAACTTTTCTTGTTAATAAAACTTTTAAACGAAGAACGTTTACTAACTGAAACTTGTTGGAGGTCACTTAAGATCATGACCTTGACAAGATATGCTTAACAATGTATGTCAAAATATGAAAATGTAAAAAAAAAACAGTTTTTTATTTGACCTTGAAAATGACCTTGTCAGTAATTTTCATGATCATATTTGTAATCACACCAAAATACTAGTATACCAATCGATAATAAAATCGGAAGTTTCATCTTTTCGAAAGTCCTATAATTTTTACCTTTTACATTTTCTACGATGGCTGTATCCGAGAAACACATTATTGCATTAATTGTTATCATTCATTAAATATAAAACAAGGATGGAATGTTACAAACAAGTTAGCGCTGATAGTATCGGGCGCAGTCAGTACAGTGTTCATTTACAAATATTTACTTATTATCTGTATACCGAATGTTCTATTTTAATTGCCCATCTCGAATAAATGGACTCTTGTAAATGTTTGTAAATGAACATTGTAC